ATACATACATATATTAATGCTGTCAAACGATTAATCGCGATTAATAGCATCCAAAATAAAAGTTTTTATTTACATAATATATCTGTGTGTACTGTGTATATTTATTATGTATATATAAATACACACACAGTATATATATTGAAAATATTTACATGTATTTACATGTATATATTTAAATTCATATCATTTATATTATATTAGTATATTTAATATATATTATAAACGTAACATATTTTTCTTATATATATATACATGCATGTGTGTGTATTTATATACACAGATAATAATACATATACACAGTACACACATATACTATGTGAACAAAACTTTTTATTTTGGATGCAATTAATTGCGATTAATCGTCTGACGGCACTAATATGTGTGTATATATATTATATATATTTATATATTAGTCTAATCCACGACTGTCTTTCTGTTTTGTGTTGTTCATGAGTCCCTTGTTGGTCCTGAGCAGTTCAACTGCCTGCTGTTCTTCAGAAAAATCCTCCAGCTCCTGCACATTCTTTGGTTTTCCAGCATCTTCTGCATATTTGAGCCCTTTCCAACATTGACTGTATGATTTGAAATCCATCTTTTAACACTGAGGACAACTGAGGGTCTCATACACAACTATTACAAAAGCTGGAAACATGTACATCAGCTCAAGAAGGCCACACAATGCATTAAGAGCCGGGGGGTGTAAACTTTTTGAATGTAATGATCAGGGTAAATTGTACTTATTTTGTATTCTGGGAAAAATGTAAGTATTTATGTAGCTTCTTAAGTGCATTACTGAATGAAAAAAAATATGATCTTTAAACATAAGACAAATGTACACATCATCATCCTGTTCAAAAGTTTACATCCCCGGCTCTTAATGCATTTTGTTGCCTTCTGGAGCGTCAGTAAATGTTTCTGCCTTTTGTAATAGTTGTGTATGAGTCCCTCAGTTGTCCTCAGTGTGAAAATATGGATCTCAAAATCATACAGTCATTGTTGGAAAGGGTTCAAATATGCAGAAGATGCTAGAAAACCAAAGAATGTGCAGGAGCTGGAGGATTTTTCTGAAGAACAGCAGGCAGTTGAACTGCTCAGGACCAACAAGGGACTCATGAACAACTATCACAACACAGAAAAACAGTCGTGGATCATCCAGGAAATGAATGACACATAGTATTAAGATTTAAGGGTATGTAAACTTTTGAATGGGGAGAATATATAAACATTTTGTCTTGTGGAGAATATATAAACATCTGTTATGTGAAATAGCTTATTCAGGACAGTATTAAATAAACAATAACATGCAATTTTCATGATCTATCTTATTTTGTAAAAATTATTAACATTTTGCGTATTCTGTGAGGGGCATGTA